ATTTTTATTTATTTATCTTTTAAAAAATATATTTTTCTTGATTTGAGAGAGGAAGGGAGGAGAGGGAGATAAAAACATCAGTGATGAGAGAGAATCATTGATAGGCTGCCTCCTGCACACCCCCATCTGGCACTCAAGCCTGCAACCTGGGCCCATCATACTCATTTTTAAGCCTATAGTTCAGTGGTATTAAACTCACTCATATTGTTGTGTAGCCATCACCACCACCCATCCCCATAACTCTTTTCATCTTGTAAATCTGAGACTCTATACCAAGAAACAATAACTTCCCATTCTCTCCTCCCACCAGCTCCTGGCAACCCCCTTTGTACTTTCTGTCTCTATGATCTGACTACTCTAAGTACTTCATAGAAGTGGAACCGCACAATACTTGTCTTTTTGTGACTGGCTTATTTCACTGGACATGATGTCCTTAAGGCTCACCCATGTGGTGGCAAACTGGAGAATGTCCTTCCTTTTAAGGCTAAATAATATTCCCTTATATTTACATACTACATGTCACTTATCCATTTATTGGCCAGTGGACACTCGGGTTGTTTCCATGTTTAGCTTGTGAATCATGCTGCTATAAACATGAGTGTACAAACAGCTCTTTGAGATCCTGCTTCCAATTGTTTGGGGTATAGACCCAGAAGTGGAATGGCTGGATTATGTGGTAATTCTATATTTACTTTTTTGAGGAACCTCTATATTGTTCCTCAGTTAATTTTTTCTATATGTCTGATGGTTGCTGCAGACACCTGGATATTATCAAGTAGTAATATGTCATGAGAACTTGCCAGATTTCCAATTTTGTGAATGCCACTAGAAATCAACTATTTATGGAGACATTTTGTTTAGCTCTCCACAGAAGTAAAGCTTTTATCAGGTAGGTGAAATGCCCTCACTTCATGTACATGAAAACATTTGAGGAGCTTTTCTGACCTTCCCCATTGGCAGTTCCCCATTGGCGGGTCTGAGATGGGACCGAAGTGTTTGCAAAACATGGGCTTCCTTCCAGTCCCAGTCCCTTCATGTGTGACCTGTGGTTGCCAATGGAAGCAACCCCACAGCTTAGGAGGCTTCGGTGAGGTGACAGGTGTGATACAGGCACAGGTCCTGATGTGTAATCGCCTGCTTAATGGAGCCCAGTATCGCTGTTGTTGAAGGGAGGCCTCCTTTGCAGCCTTGCATCTCCCATTCTTGAACTGCAGAATCAGCACAACCAGGAGAGGCCATAACCATCCTTGCTTCATCCTGGAACTCCGTGTGCTAGAGTAGCACATACCAGACTATAGTTTCATATGTAATTTCCACTAATTAAATTTTTTTCATAACTTTCATGAGAGCTCTTTGCCTTGCATTACCAACTGGGTTACACCCCAAGGGGAATATGGGAATATACACCTGAAATATTGCATTAATAATTTAACTTGGGAAAGAAAGAATGCAAATGCATCAGGTCAGTATGTGGGAAATCAGTGCCTCCTTCACTGCAGGACGAAGTGTAAATGGGTGCAGCCTTTTTGGAGGACAATTTGGCAATATCTTCCAACTCTACAGTAAACATATCCTTTGTATTTCCATGTTTAGGCATCTATTCAGGGGGAAATATTGACATATATAAACTAAGAAGCATATACAAAGTATATCATGCATATAGCAGCAAATTCCTAATGATACAGTGACCACCTAAATGTTCAGCAATTGAAATAAATAAATTAGGAATCACTTATATAATAGAACTAGAGGCCCGGTGCACAAAAATTTGTGCAATCAGGGGCAGGGGTCCTCAGCCCGGCCTGCGCCCATTTGCAATCCAGGACCCCTTGGGGGATGTCCCCCTGTTGACTTAGGCCCACAAACCGGGGGATCAGGCCTAAGCTTGCAGTCAGACATCCTTCTGGCAGCCTGGGAGCCCTTGGGAGATGTCCAACTAAAGGCGTAGGCCCCCAAGGGATCGGGCCTAAACCGTTAGTTGGACATTCTTAATGCAGCCACAGAGGTGGGAGAGGTTCCTGCCACCACCTCTGCTCTGGACAGCCATGAGCCAACTTCTGGCTGAGTGGCACTCCCCATATGGAAGTGCACTGACCACCAGGGGCAGCTCCTGCTTGAGCGTCTGCCCCCTGGTGGCCAGTGCGCCTCATAGTAACCGGCCATTCTGCCGTTCAGTCAATTTGCATATTAGCCTTGTATTATTATTATATAGGATGTCCCTATTTCCCCCTTTAGCCCCCTCTACCCAGCCCTTGCCCCCACTTCTCTCTGGCCATCACCATACTGTTGTCTGTGTCCATGGGTTGTGCATATATTTTCTTTGGCTAAACCCTTCTTTAAATTTTTATTTTCAGATAAGTGCTTATAACTGCACTATTATATGTTTTCTATTATATTATTTAGAATTAAGATATTTTTTAATTGAACCCTTGTAAATTTTAGCACAATTTAATAAATTATGCTAGAAGCAATTAGGAGATTTTTCATGTAATGCAGATACATTTCAATAAATATTTTATTAATTTTTAATTTTTTAATATTTTAATTTGAAATAATCTCATACATGTAAAAAAACCTATAAAATACTACAGCATATTATATGTACCCTTCATCCAATTTCTTAGGTGTTAATAATTTAAACATAACCATTATACAACTAAGAAAATTTGAAATATGTTTTTCTTATAATCTCTTTAATGTTACTTAATCCATTTACTTTGTTTTTGTTAATCTTCACCCAAGGATATTTTTCCATTGAATTTTAGAGAGAGTGAAGGGAAAGGGAGAGACACATTGATTGGTTGCCTCCTGCACATACTTTGATAGGGACTGGGGATCAAGCCAGCAACTGAGGTACATGCCCTTGACTGGAATTGAACCTGGGACCCTTCAGTCCAAGGGCTAATGGTCTATCCACTGAGCAAAACAGGCTGCAGCTTAATTCATTTACTTTTAATCTATATGTGTCTTTATATTTAAAGTGAGTTTTGTTTTTGATTCACCCTCATAATCTGTCTTTTAATTGGTGCATTTATGCCACTGACTTTCAGAGTGCTTACTGATAGAGTTACTGCCATATCAGGTGGCTTCTGGGGCTTTCGGGGCCGGCTTGTGGCCCGGGACCGGATCGGATCACGGGCGGCAGGCAGGCGGCTTCTGGAGCTTCCGGGACCGGCCTGCGACCCGGGACCGGATCCGATTACGGGTGGCAGGCAGGCGGCTTCTGGGGTCGCACATGGGGGCCTGGATGGCGGCTTGTGCTGGCGGCTCACACTGTCCCACCCTGCCTGCAGTATGCAAATTAGCCACCATCTTGGTTGGCACTTAATTTGCATATCTCGCTGATTAGCCAATGGGAGGCGTAGCGAAGATACGGTCAATTACCATGTTTGTCTATTATTACATAGGATATTAGGTAACGGTTGCTTTAAAAGGGGGGATTCTAACATGGAAATCTCTCCAAGACATAATGTTAAGCATAGCCAGTGTGGCGCAGTGGTTGACCATGGATCTATGAACCAGGAGGTCATGGTTCAATTCCTGGTCAGGGCACATGCCCAGGTTGCTGGCTCGATCTCCAGTAGGCGGCGTGCATGAGGCAGCTGCTTCATGACTCTCTCTCATGATTGATGTTTCTGTTTATCTCTCCGTCTCCCTTCCTCAATCAAAAAAAATATATATTAAAAAAAACACAAAGACATAATGTTAATTGAATAAAGCAAAACAATACATAGAGTATAACTTCATTTCTGCAGCAAAGATACATATTTGTATATACATATGTGTGTACGTAAAGTATAGGAAAGAACTTAGAAAAATACATACCAAACACATGAGAAAATTTTTTTAGAGATAATGTTAATTAAGTGATAGTAGTTGTGTCTAAGTCACTTTTAGGGAGGGATTAGGGAGTCCTCCCGTTACCAAGAGTGCTCTGTAGGGTTCTCCGGCAAGTTCTTTGGGGCTGTGCACCTTGGCCCCACACACTCACCAAGGCCATGCTACTCAGCAGTCTGGCATCTGGTCACACACCTCGGATTTGCATTTGGGCTTGCTCTTTGTTGTGCTCCTTGTTGTGCCCTGTGCTGCCTTGGGCAATTGATCTCCACCCTGTACTGAACTGCATGTCTTGGTCAGGTACTCTGGTCCCTCCTTCACATGGAGGAGTCCTGGGTGCTGTACCCTTTGAACATCCAAAGAGTCTGAGATGCTGGGTGTGAGCTAACTACCTGGGATGGCTGGGCTGAGCCCTTCTCTCTTGGCTCGCTTAGTGTTCCTGTGATCTCAGAGTACCTCATCCTGGCCTCCCCACAGGTGCTCATGAGGTGCTTGTCCCAGATCTGACCCCCAAGGACAAAGCAGGCTTCTCTTCATTCCTATAGTCATTGGAGTTTTACCTCTATACCCACTTCTCTGAAATCCTGTAACAGTCTTTTCCTGTAGTTCAGCTCATTGTAGCTCACCCACACAGGCCTCTCTCTAGGGACCTCTCAGGGCTCAGAGACCACCTGCCATCAGGGGTGGACCCTGTCTCTCCATCCCCAACGGCCCTGCCAGCTTGTGGTCTTTGAACATCCATCTCCTCAGATCAGCGACCTTACCACCTACCCTGTGATGAAGGGGAGGTCCTCATTCCACCCCCACTTGGGGATCTCAGCCCTGGATGGGACCAAGGCACAACCCGTTCACCATCTCTCCCAGAAGCACATTGAATCTTCCTGGAACCGGACCTCCAGGAGGCACCAGGTGGAAAAGCATGTAGCTTCATTGTTTTAAGCTCTTACTCTGAAATTCTAAATTATACACAGAAAATTATTTTCTTTGGCCACCTTTTTCTAATGACACCAGGAAAACAGTGACAAGTTGTGATGTAGCAATGAACTCTCCTGTTTGGATTTGCATCTATAAGAAAACATACCCTAATTAGAGAGAAACCAGTTATGAAATAGAACAAATTAACTAGATCATGTTGTACATTTCCTGCTCTACTGCCCCACCCCACACTCCTCTCTGGTGTCACTGAGGGTATAAATTGGGGCTGGGCTCAGTGTGTGCATTCACATCAAAGGCCAACATGAAGACAGGCACAGTCTTTGTCCTAGTGGCTTTTGTCATCTTGGGGATGGAGATGGCCTTCGCTCAGAGACGTCCTCCTGGAAGTAAGTGTGCTGAGGGGGTCCTACCTGAGAGCAGAGGAGGCTCAGAGCCCAGCTTCTTACCTGGGATGGTGTGGCACAGGAACAGGCTGCAGAGTGGAGATATGGCATTGATCAGACCCACTTTCTGTAACCTTCAGGAGTGATCACCCTGCTTTTCCCATTTTTCTTTTTTTTCTTAATCCTTGCCCGAGAGATGCTTATTGATGAGAGAGAGCGAGAGCGAGAGCGAGAGAGAGAGAGAGAGAGATGAGAGAGAACATAGATTGGTTGCCTACCATATGTGCCCCAAGTGGGGATTGAACCTGCAATACTTTCAGTGTGTGGGGCGATGCTCCAACCAAATGAGCCTCACCAGCCAGGGCCCCATTCTTCTTATCAGATCAGGTTGGGCCTTATCAAAAGATGGGGCTCTCTCTACATGTGCCTTGGATGTCGGGCTCCAACACGGAGTAGCTCCGGCATGAACATGGGGTACATGTGAGTTGGAAAGACAGATGTCTGGGATCAGAGATGTTTCTAATATCGTCTTCTAAGGTGGAAAGAAGAGGCTTATGACAGAGCAGGTTTCTTGCCTGCGGAACTGGGCAGCCTTTGCAGCCGGGAGAACATTCTCCTAAGGGCCTGACTGTGACAATGGGGGATTCAGTGTGAGGGTGGAGATGCCAAGGATGAGGGATGGGTCCAGGAGTACAAAGGAAGAAATGAATGAGGTGGCAGTCCTGCCAGGAGAGAGGCCGTGGACTTCTAACAGAAGTTTTTATACCTGGTTAGTGACTATTCCAGACTCCACAAACACCATTTTATGTTTCAGGGGGAGACAGACCTGGACTCTGCCCCAAGCGGCCTAAAGATGCCATGGGACATTGCGCTGAACTCTGCTCAGGAGACGAATCATGTCCCAGGGGAATGAAATGCTGCAGCAATGGATGTGGCCACGTATGCAAACGTGCTATCCATGTGGTGAGTATAAATCAGTCAAGAGCTGACAAGGGTGTTAACTACTCCCCAGTGGACTTTCCTGGGGCCGATGGATGTTCACATGTCCACTGCACTCAGAAGTCTGGGTAACTCCAAGAGAAAGAGGCTGGAGGTGAATAGCAGAAGGACACCTGGCTGCACTATCTAAGACCCTCTCCTCGAAGAGAAGCCCTATCCCTGTCCTGTCCCCGAGGGGGCTCTCAGTTGAGACAAGTAACCATGATCCTAGATTCACAGGTCATTATTGACCCAGGGCTTATCACCCTCCCTCCCCTTCCCCACCAAGGGGGCTTCACTCTTCCTTGAAAATGGGTAACCCTGGGAGGCAGAGGGAAAGGAAAGAGAACCCCAATTTTGGAGTATCTCCTGTGTCAGTCCGGCATTGTGCTGAAGTTGAGATAAAAAGGTAAACACAGCTAGTTCATGGAGACAGAACTATGTAAATAATTACAACCCAGGGTGACCACAGCTTTGCACAAATTTCTACTAAGGTCTGTGGAAGCACAGGGAAGAGTTATGGGTTTTCTTGGTGGGTGGATCAGTGGGTGTTTGGAAGGTTGTCAGAGAGTAGAGAACATATAAGGAAGAGCTTAAAGGAGGCATAAAGTTTGCCACAGTAAGGAAGGGCAGTACAGATGATGGGGAAATGTGGGTCCTACACTGTAGATGGGAAAGTGATTGGGATTGTGGTCAATAGAAGTTGCAACATCTCAGTAGAGGATTATCCAAGCCAGGGTCCAGAAAGGAATGAGCTGCCTTGTCAAAGAGTTTGGTAGACTGCTGGAGGTTTCTGAGCAGAGGAAATGTCATGATCAAATTTATATTTTAAAAGGGTGGTGTTGATGACCATGTTGATGACCATGTGGAGGAAGAATGGGGGGTGTAAGTGTGCCTGAAGACCAGCCCCAGAAGATTGCTCATAAATGCATGGATCCAATTCTTGGCATAACATTTTCCACACACCATTCCTGGCAAGTGTCTATCCCTTGACGTGCAGTCCCAGAAGATGAAGATCTAAAGTGGTGGAGTGGCCGATTCTAAAGAGCTTGTGTCCAAAATAAATCTTACCTGTGGCATTATTGAGACTGTGTCATTCTTCCCATTTAGACGTTCTCTCTAGTGGACCCTCTGTGGATGAACAGAACGGACTGTGTGCCCTGTACTGAGCCCATGAATACGAGGCACTCAGGATGGATCAGAGGCAAGGTCTGCCGGCTAGTTTCTTCCCTCCTTCCATGTCCATGTATCTAAACAGGGCAAAGGGCATGATAATATTTTCTCAAGCATTCTGGGAATATGATTTTTGTTAAGAAAAAAAATGAAATTCTAGCACATACAGGCCTATAGTCGCAGCCTTTACTAGGGCAAGACTCAGAAGGAGTAGGAGCAGAAACAAACTTGGAAATACTCTATTCTAAGGCAATACACCGACATGTAGCAGGACTGGTTGCCTAACACTATGAGAGCAACCCTGGTCCTTGTGATGTGGGACTTTGAGTGGCGTGGGCTGGGAAGTGGTTAGGAGTTAGGATAAGTTGGGACATAGGCTCTGTGGGTGGAGTCTTTGATTCAGAGTTTTCCTGAGGCAGAGGATAAGCCTGGGTCTCCCAAAGAAGCCCTGACAAAAGCGATGGTCTGGGCTGACCCTACAAGCTCCATCTCCCAGCGCTCTCTGTTCACTTTTCCACCTCGATTGCCCCATGTAGCCTCTGCCATGGTCTGCCAAGCCTGCTTGTCTCTGCCGTCTAGCACATCTTATAACCCCGGTGGCCCATGGCCTCAGCAGCCTGTGCATTGGAATGAGGGCATTAGCTTTGATATCTTCTTTTACTGGCTGGTCATCCACACCCCAAATCCCACCATGCTTCTGTCTCTCTTGGTCATTACTGGGGGCTCATGAGCACACCCATAACATGTTCTCAAATAATTTCCCCTACTATCTGCCATTCTGAATGCCAGTGTATGACCTTCCCCTGCAAAGATACTTGAGGATGGCATCCTACAACGTCCACTTAGGTTTCTGCCCTTTAGTTAGTCCTGAAGTCTATACAGGTTCTGTAGGGATTCAGACGTGTCAGACTCTGTGGTCACCCAGATTTCGGAGACATATGTTAGGGGAGGATAATTAACACTCACCGTGTATAGGCACTTTCACATGTAGTATCTCAATTTACACTCACCACAGCTCTATAATATCATTTCAATAGCAGAATTTTTTGTAAGTTTTACAGATGAATAGACAGAGGGTCCAAGTAGCTAAATAACTTGCCCAACATTACACTCCTTTTTAAAAATTTTGTTTTTATTAAAGGTTTCAGAGAGAAGAGCGGTGAGGTAGTGAAATAGAATCATCAATGATGAGAGAGAATCATCAATAGGTTGCCTCCACATGCCCCCCACTGGGGACTGAGCCCACATCCTGGGCAAGTGCTCCTATGGGAATGGAACCATGACCAGCTGACACATAGGTCGATGCTCAACCACTGAGCAAAACCAGCCAAGCCCAACACTCTTAATGAGTAGAGGAGCCAGTCTTCTCCTCCATGTCTGTTTGGCTTTTAGGTAAATGCTCCATGCCCTGTACCATGCTGACCTTCTATCCTAAAGAGGGAATATGTTCACTGGCAGGGCTCTCCTGGTCAGGTGTTAGTCTCAATAGAAAAACAAATACGGATTATCTATGTTTCATATTTAACAGCAGGACAGGGAGGGTGGAGCAAAAGAGCACTGACTGGGTCTTTTCTCTTTGACCACCGTTATCTGCAATGGGCTTTATAAGCTTTAAAGGAATGTTTCCCCAGAACCCTTTGGGATTCCCCTGCCCACCCATATTTATATTTTTAGAAATGAAGAATTATAAGTATATATTTGGTAGGCATTTTTCAGTCAGCCAAAGCTCTTCATCACCTCTGGGCTGGCTGCCTCTCCCATGTACAGCCTATGTGTGGCCCCCTGACCACCCATCATTCCCCAATTCTATGCCATGAAGTAGAGTTGGCCCCACTTCCCTAACACAGCAGCAATGTACCTATGTGTGTAGTTGGGTCACAGAAATCTGAGACTTCCTCCAGCCTGGCCAGGTAGCTTCTGAGTCTTTTCCCTCACCATCTGTGCATGCATACTGTAGACAAGGAAGTCATGTAAAAGCCTGTATTGGGAAAGGCTTTTCCAAGTGCTCTTTTTTCTGTGATTATTTATTTACCTTCTTGCAATGCCAAGCTCCAGAGCACACTCGAGGCGTAGCACATGCATAAGGTCTGCTTCCTTGGGCTGCTCCCCTTGCTCTGGTTTTGCTCTTCTGGAAGTCTGTGAACAGATGGTTGTGGGAAGGTATCCCTGGAGGCAATGCCTTTCCAAGTTTGTTTCTTTTTAAAAAATATATATTTTCATTCACTTTAGATAGGAAGGGAAAGGGAGAGAGAGATAGAACATCAACAATGAGAGAGAATCATCTATTGGCTGCGTCCTGCACACCCTCGCACTGGGGATCCAGCCCATAACCTGGGCATGTGCCCTGACCAGGAAAAGAAACCATGTCCTCCTGGTTCCTAGGTCGATGCTTAACCACTCAGCCACGCTGATCAGGACTAAGTTTGTTTCTTAATTCCCAATGAGCCCTTGACTTTGAGAAAAAAATCACAGATCCTACAAAGGGCCTTTCGACCGAATGAACCGAAAGCCTTATTCTCTTGGAAGTCATATCCACTCCTTGCAAAGTAATTGAGAAGCAAAAAATGATACCCATAGAACCAATAAACCAATAAAAACCAGTCCACTATTGCACTTAACAGCTCTCCCAGCCCAGTTTACACAGAAAGTTAGCTTATTTCCAGCTTCTTTCTCCAAATAATCATTTAACCAAATCTCAGTGTGTGAGGCATAGATGCAGCACGAGCTGTTTGGACAGGCTGTGTGGAAACTGTGAGTAGATCAGAAATGGAATGTTGGCTATGGAGTTGGGAAATGTACTATTTTATTTCATGAGAACTTTCTCACTGAGTTATACTTTCTGGGGCACAGTCCTTACTGGACCTGGGAGAAATTTGACACGTTCTATTTTAATCCAAGATTAATTAATAGAGTGTTGTTTGTAAGGATTAATAGTTTATTTTTAAACTTTTTATTATGGGAAAATGTAAATATATACAAAGCAGATAGAATAGTATAAAGATATACCATATACCCATCACCCAGCATCAACCACTGTTAATATGTAATCATTTTTCTTTGATAATCCCATTCATTCCCCCTCATCTCATGCTATTTTGAAGAAATTTCCAGACATTATTTTATTACATACTAGAGCCCTGATGCACAAAATTCATGCAAGAGTAGGCCTTCCTTCCCCCGGCTGCCAGCACTGACTTCCCTCTGGCACCGGGACCCAGGCTTCCCTCGCAGCCCTGGCTTTTTCCGGAAGGTCACCAGGAAGGATTATCCGGTCTACTTATCATATTATGCTTTTATTATTATAGATTATTTCTGTATGTATCTCTAACAGATAAGAATTCCTTTTAATTGGGTTATTTATCATACCTTTTTACTGTTATAGTTTTATTTCCTCTTTATTAGCTAGATGGTCTCTCACTGTTTAACCTATTTTATTGGTGTAATCTGTCTCCCTTTCTCTCTCTCTTACTATATGTTTTGTATTTAGAAAGGTTTATATTTTTGTTGTAACAGTTATCTTATGCTAACACCTTTAAGTTTTACCTTTGCTCCTTTTTTTGTGTGTGGATGATTATAAGTGAACTACTATGAGTAATAGTCATAATAAAATTAGCTAATTTCATCTTTTTCTTCCACCCCTTCCCTGCCCCCCAACCCCAACAACTTTGTTCTAGATTGTCTTGATTCAGGGTGAACACCTTATAAGTTATATAAATGTCTAATCACGATGTTGTACATCTGAAACTAATATAATATTGTATGTCAACTGTAACTGAAAAAAAAAGGAAAAATTATCCTGATTATTCTTGATTTTTAGGACTTTCATATAAGTTTTAGTATTAGTTTATGAATTTTCATTTAAAAATCCTTCTAAGATTTTCATTGGAATTATATTAAATTTCAATTTCGGGAAAACTCATATGTTCATGATTGTGAATCTTCTAATCTATGAAGAAGGTATATGACTCTGTTTATTAAGATCTTTTCAGTTTTTTTCTTAGTAATATTATGTAGTTTTCTGAATATAATTTGTTAGATTTATACTTAGGTAATTGATGGGCTTTTGGATGATACTGTAAAGGCATTTAAAATTTTATTCTTCAAGTATAAGACTTAAAAGCTTTTAACTAGTCTTTCCTCTCCTCAGGCATCTGCGAGCACCAATGCAGAGCGGGCAGGGACTGAGGGCAAGGAGAACAGTGCATCAGGGAGGGTTGTGGTCACGTCTGCTCCCCCATGATTCCAATAGGTAAGTCTTTTTTAAAATTTCAATTTACTTATTTTTACTTTGACAATTACACTTTACTTTCAGTGTTATTGTACACTGGGTTCAAGTGCACAGCATAGTGATTGGACAATCATATACTTTACAAAGTGTCCCCCTGATATTTTCAGAACCCAGCTGTCACCACCCATAGTTGTTATAATACTAGAGGCCCGGTGCACCGGTGGGGTTTCTCTGCACGGTCTGCGGGAATCGGTACAAAACCCGCAGTCCAACGCCACCTGCCACTCCTGCTCATCCCAGCCCCTGCGCCTGCCACAGTCTCTCTCCCAGTCAGTCCCGATCTGAAGAGTCTTGCGCTGCTGCAGTGAGCTCACAAACCATAAGCCCTGCGTCTGAGACCCGTCCTGAGGAGGAGGCAGGGGCCTGGATGTGATCAGGCCCTCCAGGCGGGTTGTGGGACACTCTTGCTGGCCAAGGATCAGGATCTGTCCTCCCCGACTCTCCCCCACTGATGTTCCTGCTGGTTGTCTTGAGCCACCTGGCAGCCACTTTTATATCGTTTCTTCCTTGCAGAGCTTCTAGGGAGGGGAAGTGGCCACAGTTCCCCAGGCCAACTTCCCAGAGGCTGACAGTGCTGTCAGGAATCTGCTGGCGGCACTGGTCCTTCTGACCCTGGCTGTTCT